GCTTGAGGCGGCGGCGGCGCCCTCCGCGCGGGGCCCCGCCTCGGCGAGCGCCGGCCGCGGGGCCAGGCGGCGGCGGCCAGCAGGCATGCGGGGCCCCTCCTGGCGGCCGCCCGCACGCGAAGGGATGGGAGGGGGCGCCTCCTCCTCCTCCTCCTCATCTTCTCCTCCTCCTCCTCCTCCTCCTCCTCCTCCTCTCTCCTCTTATCCCTCCTCCTCCTCCTCCTCCTCCTCCTCCCTCCTCTTCTCTCTCCTCCTCCTCCTCCTCCTCCTCCTCTTCTTCTGCCTCCTCTTCTTCTCCCTCCTCCTCCTCCTCCTCTTCTCCTCCTCTTGTCCTCCTCTTATCCCTCCTCCTCCTCCTCCTCCTCCTCCAAAAAAGCACGCGGAGGGCGAGAGAGACCCCCCGCCCGCCCTGCGGCACAGGCACGAGCCGCACGCGAGGGGAGGAAGGGGAGCGGCGGGAGGAAGGGGAGGATGGGGAGGGGGGTTCGGGGAAGAAGCCCCCCCTGCGATTTCACAATTTTCGGTTTGCTGTTCCTTTTTCGTTTTTCGGGTCGGGCGAAAGGGGGGGATAGCAAAGGGGGGGTTTGAGAATCAGCTCACGTAGCTGATTTTCCCGGCGCCTCCCGGCGCTGGAAGCGGCCATGTATCGAGGAATGGGCCCCTCGGTGAGGCCGAAACCAGCTGCATGCAGCAAATTTCGTACCCCCCCCTTTCCCAATCCCCCCTTTCGCCGGCCCGAGTTTTGGGGAGGCACCCGGAGATCCCGGCGCGGCGCCACTGTGCCCCACCTGGCGCTTCCGCCCAAGGTCGGGCCCATGGGGCCCTCACAGCGCGACGAGCCGGCCCGAGGAGCGGCGCAGAAAAGACGGGGCCCGGGCCTCCGAGCGTGACCTTTTGCGATGATGTTGCGCTCTTTTCCACTGCGTCGGATCTCATGAAGGGGCCCTGGGACACACCAACAAATACACACGAACAAACATATTCCGTATATTTTCCAGTGCTTTCTGGGTTTCTGCCTTCCCCCCCCCACTTCCCATATTGTCCCACATTTTCGGGGGACTCGAGGATTCATTGTGTCTGTGTGTTGCTTTTCCTCCTGGGTGATCTTTTGTGATGTTGCACTCTTTTCCACTACGTCGGATCTCAGGGGAGGGGGAGGGAGGGTGGGGCAGGAGTCGGGCCGGACGAAGGGGGGGGATTGGGAAAGGGGGGGGTACGAAATTTGCTGTTGTTTCGGCCCCACGGAGGGGCCCATTCTCCGATACATAGCCGCCTCCGGCGCCGGGAGGCGCCGGGGAAATCAGCTACGTGAGCCGATTCTCAAACCCCCTCTTTGCTATCCCCCCCTTTCGCCCGACCCGAAGGAGGAAGGAGAGGCAGGAGGAGGCCGCCGCGTGTTCCAGGGGCTCCGAGCCCCGCTCCCGCAGCCCATCGACCACTGCGTGCATCGTGGACCGGCGAGGGCGGAGATCGCCGCCGACTCGGGGCCGGCCAGTCTCGCGGGCCGAGGGGGAGCTGGATTTAGGTCGGGCATGTCCCCCTACAAGCGGATTCTGGACGACCAAAAAGACATGGTCGAAAAAGGTTCCAAAAATTATTCAAACAAAGCAAAAAAATCGTCCCCCATTCTTGAACTATTCTTAGATTAGACGAGCGCGTTCCACTACTCGCAAAGTGCGTACTCGCAGACGACCGAACAAAAACACATGTCTGATTGGATGTCACTTGTCGTAGATCCCCCGCGGGGGATCCAGGCCATTTGCGAGAATAGTTACGTCG